GTGCTTGCATGAAGTAGCACCAGAAGTTGACAAGGCAATCTGGTGTAGACCAAGTAGAAGAAGATGGAGTTGGTGATAAAGTGGCTATTGAGGTGAAGATGGCGTTGATGACGGAGGAGGGAGGGGAAATGCAGTGATGGAGGTGGGGAAGAGGTGGATATGGAGACAAAGGGGCCAAACTGACAGTGCAATTTCTACCACACTAAACACCAAGAGAGAAGTAACAAGACAGAGCCTGAAATTTGACAAAGCAATCTAATCTACCGACTCTACACAAATAAGATGCACCAAGTAGAACTGGAAATTGACAGAGCAATCTAGTCCACACCAAGTACTTGCATGAAGTAGCACCAGAAGTTGGCAAGGCAATCTGGTGTAGACCAATTAGTTGCACAAATAGAACTGGAAATTGACAAGCCAGTATCACCACAGCTCACTTTTCCCTCCCTAAGCTATATTTCTGAAAGCCAAAACGGTCAAGGAGGAAAAAGGTGGAGAACAAGATAGGGAACAAGATGACGACAAAGATGAAGAAAGATCATCAAATCACGACCAGGAATGACTAGTTGAACAAACAGAACAGAATCCAAGGGAACAAACCAGGAAGAACAAATGAAGAACGAGAAGAAGAAAAAGATGACGGATTCTCAAATGGGGCTCTACCCTCCTCCTAGTAGTCCCCAGATGTCTTTCCGCTTCTTTGATAACCCGAGATGTGGAGGTCTCCCTTAGTTTCAAATTGTAGAAGCAGCCCTCCTTGGGCAATCCAAGTAATGCCATCTCTCCCTAGGCACCCTCAAGGAAGGTCAGGCCCTCCTAGGGCACTCGGAGGTAGGCAGGACCCTTACTAGGCGGTTCCTAGCTATCGAAGCTCCAGCCTCATAAAATATCAGGCCCTGCTAGGACATTTTGGAGCAGGCCGGACCCTTCTAGGTAGATCCGAGCTATAGCAGCTCTTCCTAGGCTACCTCAAAGAAGATCAGGCCCTCCTAGGACACTCCGGAGTAGGCAGGACCTCCAAGCCACATTAGGACCTTTCCTCCAAGCCAAATTAGCCCCTCTCGTCCTAGAACAGCACTTTTTCAACTTTCCTTTAACTTCATCCTTCATCATGCTCGAAGATCCATCCTATGAAGTGAAGCAGGAGATACCTTAGGAAACTGTTACATGCCCAGTTGGGCGATGTACATATATAACCAAGGATCTGCAATGTGATAAAAAGGACTGAATGGACAATGCAGTGCAAGTAGAATCTCAACCAGCAGTGTGCATTCTGATACATACAAGAATGGTGCTTTATAGCGCAGTGGAAGACTTGGATACAAGTCCTGACCTGACCAGGACTGACCTCTCTCACGTAGTGCAAGACAGCACAGCAGAATGCTAGGAAACCAATGACTAGCCCAATCAATGTCGCATTACAGACCAAACATACATCATCCACATCACGAGGTGTGAAGGGGCCTGGCGCTACACACAGGAAGAGTGCGCCAGGTCCAGATCATACACAGACGAAGAGGAGGGGATCAGACGAAGAGGAAGGGGGAGATGGGAATGTCGTCAACACCAAGTATTTGTTACAAGTCCCAAATAGTCCCTCGTCAAAATGTCTGAAGCCCAATGTCAAGTCTGGATGCAATGTCACCAAGCTCTCTCTCTCTCTCTCTCTCTCTCTCTCTCTCTCTCGCGCGCGCGCGCGCGCGCGCGTAGTCTGCTGACGCAGTGAAGTCAGATAGCGAGAGGGTGAGAGGGAGATGGTGGACTGAGAAGAGGAAGAAGAAGAACTCTCTCTCTTTCTCTCACGTGCCAGGAACTGGCCTGTGAAGTTGGCGCTGTGCTGCAGGTACCTCGAAGATGAAGCTGGAGCTATGGCGCTGCAGGTAAGTATCCCTGGCCTCTGCCCAATCTCTCTCTCTCTCTCCAGTACTACTCTAGCTGCTACTAGTGCCCAGCGCTGAAGACTACTGCTAGCGCTACCACTACTCCTGCAGCGCTCCTCCAGAGTGCTGCTGCCGAATCCTGAAGGCTACCTCCTGCCTCCTCAACTGCACGTGAAGTGCCTGGGAAGTCCCTATGAACTACCTGCAGCCTGCAGGGCGGGCCAGTCTTATATAGTGCTGACCCGTCCAGGAGGCTGATCTTGCCAATGCCAAAACGTGCCAGACCCTGGGGTTGAAGCTCAGACAAAGATTGTCTTGAAAATAGGCCAAAAATGGCCTGAGCTAAAACCCTGGTCTGGTGCCTGGGTTTCAGGGCAGGTCGATCGTATGACAGCCTGAAAATGGCCCTCAGTTTCAGGCTGAAAAGACTCAGGGCCCGAAAGGCCCTGTTTTAGGCTGAAACGACACAGGGCCTGTAGGCTCTTGTTTTCAGGCTTTCAGGCTGAAAACGACACGGGCCTGAAAATGGCCCATGCAGCCTGTTGCAGGCGCAGCATGTAACAAAACCCAGAGTCTTTCCCAAAGCTATGGACACCTTTCACCGCACCCAAGGTGAAGGAGACACCTGCCCCTACAACAGCACTTCTCCCTGACCTTCGAATAGACTACAACAGCTAGAACTCTCTCTCTCCTCCAAAGTACAGCCCTCGACTCCCCCAAGCGCTATGTAGTGCAAGAGCACTTCTGGAATCATAACGGCTTACCAAAGGCAGGTATGCAGCAAGTGTCATTGCGCGGCCGGCATTTATTGCCTTTATACTAGTTTATATTTTGAGAACTGGCTTCAGCCAATTCCCAAGCTGCCTGGTAACATTTATGGGTGAGGTAGGAGAGTCACCATGGGAAAAAACTGCTCCTTGGCCTCACCCAGTGTATCTACTTACATTCAATTTGAGGTATGGTACTACCTTGGATTGCATCAAATTGCCAAAAGCACTTATGCACTAGTGCACAAGTGTTTACTTTTGAGCTGGATTACAGTCCTTGATCTCGGATGACCAGCACCAGTGCACAAGTTACAGTCCTTGATCTTGGATGACCAAGGGACCAGATTTAGTATTGATAACAGGTCTTTGGGCCTCCCCTACTCCCATTCTCCCTACCACCCGCCTTTCAGGAGATCAAAGGTAAACTACTACCTCGGACTACTTTAAACCACCAGTCCATCCAAAGCTAAATTGACGAACCAAGATATGTTTTTTGTCAAGCTGAAAAGTGACTGGTATCGGCCGTTGGAAAAATCAACACAGTACTAGTACTGGCCTCTATATTGCCAAAAAGTTCGGGCCTCCCAAATAAATTTGGGGCCCAAAGACACTGTTCATCCATTGCTCTACAGGTCGTGGGCTACAGGTCGTGGGCTGAACGGCCTAGGGGCGGTACTTGTGTATGAAAACCGATGAGTATTCATGGAGAGTCGGGGATGCTAGGCAGAGACAAAAGGCCAAGTCAGCCTGCAAATCATTAATTTGGGGCAGACTAGGTGTCATACGGTCGCAATGTAGGTAGGGAGGTTAGGAGGAACCTAAGACCAACACTGCCATAGTGAAATAGCCTAAATCAAGATCAGGCTCCCCCTACCTCAAGATCGCCAGGAACCTAAGACCAATGCTGCCATAGTGAAATACAATCCCCTTTGTGTCCCAGAGCAATCAATCTTGTCCTGTCTTTCCCTTTTTTTGATATGTTGCTCCCAGGCTATTCATGAGGAGCAGCATCTGCTCGGAATCGTGCCCAGCATCCCATAAAACAACAAACCAAATGGGAAAGACAGGACACCATTGATTGCCCTGGGACACAAGGGGATATAGTGCCTGTAGACACGAACCGACTTTCGCATCTTCAATCCAATCCGGATTGCCTGGAAAAACAGTAAAAAGCAAGCAGAATGTTTCAGCTGAGAACTCATGCCCCAGCCCTTCCCTCTCCATTTCATTCCAATCCATACCAAGCAAGGTCCACCACCCAATGGCCTGCAGAAGGGAAGGGATGATCAAATTAAGGAGGAAGTCTCATCGGGAAAGAATCGTAGACTGCTGTCCAGTTTTCCACGACCAAGTGGGCTCCCAGTGTCTTAGAAACATCCCCTTCAATCTTCACAATCAGCCTATTTGCTGGTTTGATCAGCCATTCTGTTTCAAGTTCTTTTATTCTAGCTTCCTCCTCTTTCAAGGGATTGATTTTCTCCAGTGCCAGCTGCCCTTCCAGTTGGATACAACTCTGTACAAAGTTTGTTATCCTCTCATATACTTCCAAACTGGTCAGCATGACATCCTCCCATCAGTCAGTGCATCTAATGCTCCAAATCCCCCACATCACAGCCTTCCTATCAGATGGCGCCACATTGCTGCAAGATCCCCTCCCCCTCTCTGCTCTGTCGATATCCAGCATGATGGCTTTCCAGTCCCATTCCCACCCTGGTTCCCCAGTTAGCCACCTCGAGACAACGCCCCACCATCTCTGAAGACCTTTAGAAAGGCCGAAGGCTTTCTGTTTTTATATATTTGGGTTCGTGCAGCATTTCCACGATATCTTTATGATCAATTAATGAGACTTGGCTGGAAAGTCTTCTTGCCAAACTTGGGTTGGTTTTCACGGTAAGAAATACCGAGACAATTAGGTTTTGTACGACTCTTACATGTCCAAGGCCACGAAGTGGCAGCGGCGCCAGTTCAATCTCATTCGATTGAGTTGGATCAATTGCAAAGACGAAGTGGTCCGTTCCATTCGATGGTGACCTAATTTATAGGGAGTGCAGGCGAGGGAATGGTCCCTCTCCAGTACAGAACAATCCTTTTCTATTTCTCTCTTGTAGTTTATGGTGTCTCTCACGGTACTGAGAAGCTTGCAGCTAGCCAGGACTATGTTCCAGGTAATGCACTGTACAAGCTGTTGACAGGGATTATGTCTGTTGGAGGCGTCCAGCTGGCAGCATGAAATTGTCTTCGGTTGATCGGTGTGAATAAATGATGAGATAGTGTTGTAGTGATTCATCCATCAAGCAGGTGTGATGATTGTTGGTGATGCACATTGAGCTTCTAAAGTTATATCAGTTCTCACCATCGCAGCATTGCAGCATTCACATCGTGAGGGTTCCTTGCATCCAAAACTAAACCAGGGCCCAAGAGCTTGTTCATACGCTTGATCACTCTATAGTAGTAGTGGCGCACCTGTAGACCAGAACACAAGTCCACCCAACAGCTCAAAAATAGCTCTCTCTCTCTCTCTCTCTCTCTCTCTCTCTCTCGCTCAAAAATAGCTCTCTCTCTCTCTCTCTCTCTCTCTCTCTCTCTCTCTCTCTCTCTCTCTCTCTCTCTCTCTCTCTCTCTCTCATGCATACACAAGGAAAACACAGTCATGCACACACTTGCACACCTACACACGGACTGAAAAGGTATTTCTGGAATTTGTGAATCGACTTCACACACACAAAGACTGAAAATATGTTTTGGGCTCTTGCCAATCCCGTGCACACACTGAAAAATGTACAGGTACAATTTGTTCCATTCACTTATTTTTTCAAATGTTCTTTTCTTTTTTTCAAATCATACGAACACAATGTGGAGTTGATCACCCTTCCCGGTTCCCAGCACGTGTTGCTCCCCACAAATAGATTGGAGCATGGTTCCCCGAAAGAAAAAAAAAGATCACCATTCTTCGAAAGATAGATTTTCAGTGTTTTATAACTTACTGAGTATTTGGTATAACTCATCTCTTTTTTTTTTCTTCAGCTGTTGAGCGCAGGCATACCTGAATTTTGTTTTTTTTTTCGGGGGGGGGGAAGGGGACTTCCCTGGGCCTTGCCCGACCGGGCCGCCCAGGCAACCAAGATGACCCAGGCGGCCCAGTTGGTAACCCAGCTGCCATCCTGTCTTTTTCTTTTTTCAAAGGGTTAGGATCCTGTCAATTCGGAATTTCTGCAGGAATGATGGGAACCAAGGTAGTGGGCCACAGTTTTAGAAAACGGGACAAGGTAGGTAAACAATTTTTTAGCAGCTTCGTTCAAAATGAGTAGATATGTACAAGAAGGAGACCTGATAGCGGCTCCTATCTGTCTCTTTGTAATGGAAGGAATGGCAAGCTTTCTAAGGAAGGAGCCCTCAATCAAACGGCTACTAAATGACAACACGGACACAGACAAACTATCACTTATTCCATCGCTCCTGTTGTTTGCAGATGACCTGACTGTTCTGATCAGAGCATCTGATTCTTCCTTCAGAGCACTGATAACGGCAATGCAGGCCTTCCAACTAGCATCAGAACTGAAATTAAACTGCAGCAAAATGATAGGGTGGTGGACGAGCGATCAACCTCCTTTAGAGATCACACCCCCAGCCATGCAGTGGATTCCACCAGAAAAGGGAATCTGCTTCCTGGGAATACAATTCAAAAATAAGGGAACCCATGGAAGTGCGGCTGCAACCTTACTAACATCCATGGTCAACAGAATGGACGTCTGGATATAGTATATACTTTTGTCATGGGTAGAGAGTGAGCTTTAAACGTGAAATGTTGTATGCAACGTGATTTGGATTTGGACCTTAAACCACCACTCTACCCGACACCGAAAAGTGGCATTCCGGTGAGTTGGGAGCGGGTCTTTAAGGGAGGCGCCGACCGGCAGCTGCAGGCGGGTCCAGTCCTGCAATTTTCACGCGCCAACTTTGGCGATTTTTCGTGTTCCGAAAAATTAAGAAACAAATCTGAAATTTTGAGATCTTGTAGACTAGGTCGTGATCTTTCCAGGAAAAATATCAGAAAAAAAATAAATCATTTAGCCCATGAAATAAATGCCGTGCCAATTCATCACATTTTCCATTTTTGCCAGTCTACAACTTACCCCAATTCCAGCGATTTTTCATGCTGTGTACTGACCTGCCAAACACGGACTGAGACACGCAACTGATTTCTGAGTTTTGCTCATGGAATGAATGCCTTGCTGAGTTTCTGGATTGTTACTGATTTCTCTAAGTCTGTGTGTGTGCATGCTTGCTGGTCTGCATGCCTGTCTGAGTGCTTGTTGGCTTGAGTGTGTGTGTGACCCGCAAGGGCACTTGTTCGTTCAGAGGGCCCGCAGGGCCAGTACTTTCCTGTGGCTGTGACATTGAGGGTTGCAGCAGGGAAAACACTTTTAAGTGGCGGAGGAAAGAGGCCCGCGACACTTGGGAGCAGTGGAAAACAACACTCACGTGGTGGGGGAAAGAGGCCGGCGATACTTGAAGCAGTGGAAAACACTCAAGTAGCAGGTAGGCCGGTACCACACCAGGTAGAGGTAGATGTGCCGGGTACTCAAGGCCGATTAGAAGAAGACAAAAGTTGGAATTTTTAGAGGCCCAGTAGTTGTAGGCTAGGTCTAGGCAGGTACCAGTCCAACCAGTCTGCATCTAGGGCCTGTACGGGCAATATCAGAGTCTGCAATGATGTTTCCCTCCGAAAGGGAGGAGGTACTGGTTGCTTGGAGGCCACCCGGCCTGGGAAGTCACTCGCCAAGAGGCAAGTAGGCCGCTATATCTCCAGGAGGAGCAACGTGTTCCTCCTCATTGTCGGTGTGCAAGTTGGCGACACCATGGTTGGAGTGCTGGCTGGAGCAGCGCTGCTAGGGAAGCAGCAAGGACAGGAGGAGGAAGAAGACCAGGACTAGGAAGGGGGAGCACCATCTTCATCTCTTGGTGGGCGCTGCAGCAAGAAGGCCCCAGCGGGGGTAGAGCTACACCAAGAAGCTTCGAGGCAGAGTCAGGCATGGCGGGCTGAGCTAGAGCAGCCATAGCTGCTCGAGTTGTCTTCTGCACATCAGGGCGAGGCCCTAGCAGTCCGCCATAGCCTAGGCTTTCGAGAAGAGGAAGGAGAAGGATATCATGGCTATGGTGGACCTCATGTGATACCTGCAGTAGGAGAGGGATTCAGACATTGATTCTGGTTCAGCCATTCAACATTATTATTATTATTTCTTGATTGAATAAGAGGGGAGGAGATAAGGAGGAGGAGAGTGATTGGCGAAGAAGAAGAGCATTATCATTGGTCAATGCTGGTGTACATCATCTTCTTCTTCTTCTTTCCCTCTCTCTCCTCTAAAGTTCATTCGTTTCTTTTTGCAATTGGACGACATTGTACTTTCTGATGAATGTATACTTCGAAATTGGCTAGGATCATAACATTGGTATTCGTCGAAATTGGCCAGGATCATAACATTGGTATTAGAGCGGATTCTACTTGCTGGTGAGAGTTGACTTATCCACCCTAACCCTAACCTAAGTGATTAGGCTGACCACGTAGGGTTAGGGTTTGTCTGAAGTGGGGCAAAGTGGATTAGGGAAGCTGCCCCCACATGGTTAGGTCGTGTTTGGTCGACGTGTAACCTGACCAGGTTGATTGAGAGTGAGCTTGTGGTGGCCAGACACATCAAGAGGACTTCATGCGACAATTTGAGAGAGGCGACAGTGAGAGGGACTCGCACCTGGAATCTGACCGAAGGGAGACACACAGTGACTTAAGGGCCTCCCTCAAGTAGGCGATATTGAGGGAGGTAGCCATTTAGCATATACGGACTGCAAGTTGCTACTTTGTTCTTCAGCATCGGTGGGGGATCGGGCGTTGCACTTTGGTGTTGGAGTCGGACCCTCCTACATGATAGGACACTAGTGTAGATGTAGCGAATAGGGTTAGGAAGACCATATGAGGAAGGGGGGTGAGTTATACTACATCTCATAGTCTAGGCCACTCAGGTAATTGTTGTGCACTTAATGGTTGCCCATGTGTGCGCGCATGGTATTGTTTGTCCAGTTGGAGTACTTCTAGGTCTCTTTCCTACTTTGAAGTCTTGGTTGTGTGCATTGGTGTCCAAACGGCTTACTAACCTGATGAATGTAGAGATGTGCTTTGAATGCCATATCTTTCTACAGTGCTTTCTCTTTTCATTCTGAATGGATGTAGTTTGTAGGTTGTCTCTTGGAGTTGAAATTCGTTTTTTGATACGGTAGAGGTAGAACGTAGGACCTTGTGGTACTTTCTTGCTTGGGACTTGGTTGCGACCTACGTGGGAACCATAGGGACTCAGTAGGACCAGCCCCAAACAAGAAGGCCGCCTTGGACTCAAATTTGATGATGCAATGTCACCCTTTTTTGTGTTTGGAATTCATTGCTTTTCTTTTTTATTCGAGCACTCATTGTCGAGGGGATCTCGGCTGAGATGTTTTGCGGACTGATGACGCACAATCTAATGGTTGACTTATACACCACTCAATTCTCCATTGATGTATGTTGTGACTTGTAGTCTGATTTGTTGTACGTTGACGGTGGTGATCAGATTAGGCTCGAGGGGATGTCGCACTTGGTCTGACCGGACTACAACGCGGAGTCAGAACTCTCTTATGAATTATCTTAAGTCCTAGAGCTACAACGTGTGTGTGTGTGTGTGCGAGTGTGTGTGTGTGTGCATGAGGGTTTTGGTGGGGATAGGAGGGGTATAGGTGGGGATTAGAAACTTTGAAGAACTTTATCTTTTTTTCTACTGGCTCAAATGAGCCAAAATTTTGGTGGCATACACCTTATGCATGGTAGAAGCCACATCATTTTTTTCAATATATATATATTTTGCGCTAGGTCGGACAACCCTTGTCCGGTTCGAGACCGTCCGACGTCCGACCAGACGTCCGGTCGGACAACCCAGGGGTCCTGGACGTCCGGTAAAACAACCTAGGATAAAACACATTTCCGTAATAAAAACGACATCTATTTTGTATGTTTGAAAATCTACCTCTGTCTTTCGTTTATATTAATTAGTAGTAGGTTGGGGAAACTACTTAAGTTTTCGGAATGCTCTGCAATCTTTCACCGTATGGATTTCCGGATATTTCAACAACTTCGTGCATAGGTCTTTCGTAGACACCCTACCTAGGGTCGACAAAGAATAAAGCATAAGTACTTCCCTGAGAATCAAACTAGCTTCATGTAATGTCTTTGAGGATCCTAGACAAACATATGTTGGTTCCCTACAGATCCCTGGAGGCCGAAGGCCCTGAAGCCATAAATGCAAGAACTTTGTATAAGATCATCCGAGGAACAATCTGAGATGGGTGCATGCAATACCAATCATTTCCTTCTTTTGTAGCTTCTGCTTTTACCACACGATATTTGGATACCTAGGAAGATCAACAACCTTTGGTCGGGTGTC